GAAAGATGATTCACAAGGTTGAAATCAGACATGCAGCTCTATCCAATTGAAGAGGGAGGAAATGCTATGTCTGAAGCAGTTCAAACTGCCCCCCACCCCAAAAGCAAATCAACAGAAATACAAAATTAATAGCTGTTCCCTCAAAACAAAACAAGTCCAACATTAAAGAGCTAGTGATTAAGGGTAACAGTTGGTCTGTGATATTGCTGTATTGGCCCCAATGGAAAAACCTTATGTCAAGCCTTAGCAGCAGCTAGAGGGACTCCACAAAAATCAATAAGCATCAGTGGACAGAAAAATTAATCAGAATTTCACACAGACATAGAATGATGAGAGCCTCTAGAGAAACATTTATCCTGTTTGTTATTGATAGTACTTTGGGATGTTAGTGCTTGCTCAGTGTAGTTTTACTCCTTAGCTCTTAGAAGTAGAAATTGGCAAGGTTATAGGTAAAACTAAGCGTAGGTAAAATGTTTCTAGTACTCTTGCTTTCATCTAAAATCATTTATTTTGAACACTGCATTTCTTACCCTCACTTTTCCCCTTATTTAAATATATTTTTACTGCATTCAGGAAACAATATGGGAGAATTTAACACCTCTAAAATTGCATATGGATAGTAGCCAAAGACTGTATGTAAATAGATATATCAATTATGCTATTTTAAAATTATGCATGTCCAGTGTATTTGGTTTGTTTGAGTCATATCTTGTTTTAATGACAAATTTATTTCTCTGTTTTTAGCATTTTAGCTTTCACTCCAAAATATACAGGCCAAAGTATTCAGACATTTTTGCCTAGAACTAAGGCATTCAAACAGGATCATTCTGATGTCCTGAGGTGATGAGCACCCACAACTCAAAGTTCAGCTCCTTCAGTAATGCAGAATCCCAGAGGAGTCAGACATGAGGTAGCAGGAAATGAAGGTGGGTAGGGAATCCATATCATCTTGAAGAAACAAAGTTACTGTACGATAAATTTCTGCCTTCTGGGGATTGTCCATACAGATTCCACTCGGTGCCTAACCAGCAGCTGTCTGTCTGCTGATGATGCAGGCTTATGTGAAATGGGCTGCACACCTCAAGGCGTCCAATAGGACCAGGGTGGGAAGGAATATGAGTACTAGGGGAGGATACAGAATTCATCCAGAGGAGTGACATATGGAACATCACTTGGGGATGTGTCCTCTCTGAGGCAAAATAGGTACCAGAAATGCCTGTCATTAAATAGCAATGAAGCTTTCTAGAAAAAGCAGGTTTTGAATACCAAGGATTTTGCTTCTGCCATATTGCTTAAGCCCCAAGTGTGGGTGCCTAACCACTAAAAAAAATAAAAAATACATTTTTATATACACAATAATCAAAGAACTAACTGTATGAACTAATACTAGCACAGTGCAGAGAAGCAGGAGGACACTGGATGGGTTCCATCACAATGCCACGTCTGGTAAGAAGGATCAGGGGGGTCATTGGGACTGTTCTGCCCTTCATGCCCTCAGGTGGCATGAAGATAGAGGCATGGCCCCAATGGATTGCTGGCCAAAAGAATCCGATCTCAGATGCAATCGCCAGGAGTGGATCCATGTGGAGGAACTTTGCAAAAAGTATGAAGGTGACAATCCTGTATCTTTGTCAAATTTTTCTTTGCAATTCTTTTCTGAAGTGAAATGGGCTCCTTTTTTTGGGAAGCTAACTTCCTATTGAAATTCAGGATCATTAATTTAAAAAACCTCTATCAAACTGGGTAGACTCAGTGTGTAATATAGTTTAGAGGCAGCAAGTTTAAAAGGGCGCTTATTTAAAAAAAAATGTTTTTAACCTGAGAAAATCCTTAGATTGAAATTTGAAAGGAATTAAAAATCTAATACACGTTATCATATATGCTGTTTACTTTTTGTATTTCTCTGATTTTATGTGATGAAAGAACATTGATCTTTTGTTTCTAGACAATTTCACTTTCAAAACCTTATGGAATGACAAAATGTCAGGATTTTTTAATTAAAAACACTAATTTGAAATCCAATTAGACCCAAATGTCTTTTTAAATTCTATAGGGATTGTATATGTTGAAAGTACTTCATATTTCATTTTGTCAAATTGATCACTATTTGCCCTTATACTGAAATACCTGGCATTTAACAATGTTGCTATTCACGTAGCAAATTAATTTTTTTATCAAGTTTTAAATGTATATAAGATCTCACTAGGTGACTTCACTACTTGTATTCTGTCCTCTTGGCTGACCAAGATGAAATAGCAATCCTAAAATGCATGAAATACTGAGTCTGAAGTCTTTACTATTTACAAAGAGCACAAGTTAAGAAATACAGCATTGACATTTTTTCACTTTAAAAAATGATGTGAAGTCAGGGAATCACCAAGAAGTAAATTCTGAAATAATTCATTCACTCACTGTGCAGCAGATGACTTTATACACCAACAAGGAAAACATGTTTGTTTAGGATGGAAAAAAATGGTCTATACAGGTAGTGACGACGACATATTTTCAAGAATTCTTGTTAATGCCTTTCAGGAACAAAAAAATCATCTGTAAGTACATACTTTACCAGTTTATTCCCCCGAGGTGGGGGGCTCTTATACAGTAAACTCCTCAGAGACAACTGTATAAAATTCAATGTCATTAAAAGATAATATAGCACAAGGAATGAGACTACTCAGTGGTCAGACAACCAATACAGATGAAGTACTTTTACAAATTTGTAGTTACCTCATCGGTGAAGTGGCAATTTAAAAAAAAAAAGTGAAAGAAAGTAACCAGAAGTGACTTGTGCCAGATGAGCCTTAAGTCCAGAAAGGGAAAGAGCATCACACTGAGGGTGACTATATCCATGTACTGTGTTTCTTTCCTCCTAAAGCCCTGGGATTAACCACATTCATTTCGCACCTTTGAGCTCATGTACACTCTGCCCCATTAATCCATCTTGGACTATTAACATGCCAAATTTATTAACTGTTTTCAAACAGCTATTTCTCTTCCCCCAAAAGAACATGCCCTGACATTCTGCAAAGGGTGAATCTGGTAAAGTGAACTGCTATAGTCAATACTGAGCAAGCAGCCGTGTTAAGATCCTGTACTTACAGCCAGCAGAGCTAGAAGACACCTGCTGGAATTCCAGGCTCCCCAATTATATAAAACACTTGAATGTACCCTTCATGCATCATGAAATATTGAACTTTAAAATAATGACAAATGGATTTACAAAAATGTATCTCCCCTAATTTCTCCTATCATGCAGAAGTCCATATATGCTAACTAAGGTGGCCACTACAGGTGGAAGGATAATAAAGAGCAGAATGCTTTCTAAAACTCAGCATAAAAAAAAATACAATGTGGTGTGTGTAGATTAGGTGTGTGAAAACTTTTTGGCCCAAGGGCCACATCTGGGTATGGAAAGTGTATGGCGGGCCATGAATGCTCATGAAATTGGGGATTGGGGTGCAGGCTCTGGCGTGGGGCTGGGTATGAGGGGTTCGGAGGGTGCAGGAGGGTGCTCCGGGCTGGGACGGATGGGTTCGGAGGGTGTGAGGGAGAATCAGGGCTGGGGCAAGGGGTTGGGGCACAGGAGGGGGTCAGGGGTGCAGATTCCGGGTGGCGCTTACCTCAAGCAGTTCCTGAAAGCAGTGGCATGTTCCCTCTCCGGCTCCTACACGGAGGTATGACCAGGCGGCTCTGCGTGCTGCCTTGTCCGCAGGTGCTGTCCCTGCAGCTCCCATTGGCCTCAGTTCCCAGCCAATGGGAGCTGCGGGGGTGGCGCTTGGGTCAGGGGCAGTGTGCAGAGCCCCCTGGCTACCCCTACATGTATGAGTCAGGGGGGGGACCTGCCGCTGTTTCCAGGAGTTGCGCGGAGCCATGGCATGCACACAGCGGGGAAAGCCCTGGACCCCGTTCCCCAGCGGGAACTCGAGGGTGGGATTATAACGTCCGAAGGGCTCGATGCGGCACACAGGCAGTAATTTTTCCCACCCTTGGTGTAGATAAAGATTTTACTAGCACTTCTTTGGGATGACCTGGATAATTCTTGTTTTCTCCCACTTGTGAGTCACACAGCCACTGCAAACTCATGCCAATAAAACCTTTATACCAACACCAGATCTATTCTATACAAAATCTTTTCCTCCCCTTAGAGGAATCTATGATATGTATATTTGGCAGGTAGACATTTTAAAAATGAACATCTGGCTGCTTGAATTTCAGCCTTAAGAGAGAAATTTTGTTAAATTAAGTTTAACAAAAAACTTAATTACCCTTTATCACCCTACTTTTCCCGTTAAGGTATAAAGAGGACTTCAATGTATGTATATTCTCAGACTAGCAAAATATTTTCATTTTTATACTTAAAACTGACATTCTTATTACATACCTACTGTATTTTTCCAATGTTATTAGCACTTTGAAAACATGAAGTGAATATTCCTCAGTGAACATCATTTTACAAGCCATACAATGTTATGCTATAACTGAGCTACTTGTATGAGCCTGAAGTGCTCATTTTTTACAGCTGTGCAAAACAAGAGTATTTAATGTTATCAACAGGCAGTTATTTATTACAGTTGAGAACTCTACATACAGTACTGCACACATTATAGGTGGACTGATTAACAAAACTATATTCATACATAAGTTACTAGCATTTACATAAATGTACTTTAATAGATTGTGCGTTAGGTGCTTTAGTAAATACGACAACTCTCTTCAAAGACTATTTCACAGAATATGAAAGTATAAACTTTCACTCACA